TTCGAGACCCGCCTGGGCAGCGAGACCTCATCTCTACAATAAATCAAAAAATCAGCCGGGCGTGGTAGCGCACGCCTGTAATTCCGGCTACTCGGACGGCTGAGGTGGAAGGATCGCCGGAGCCCAGCAGGTCGAGGCTGTGGTGGCCGGGAGCGGCCACTGCAGACAGAGTGAGACTCCAACTCAAAAAACAACAACAACAAAATAAAAGGCAGTCTTATTTGTGAAGTGAGCCACCTTCACTATGGAACGAGAGGTCCATGCGAGGAACTGAAATAAGCTCCAGGTATGGCACATGGAAGTATACAAAGGGCAGAGTGTTTACAATTCTGATGACAAAGTAGTGGACACAAAGGCACCAGAAGAAACATGGGCAACCACAACGAAATGTCAGTCCACAGGGTGGCAAAATGCAAGAAATGTCGGAGAAGTGACTCTGTTTCGCTTGTAACTAAAAGACATAAGTCAGACAGATGCCACTTGCTCACCCATCAGAGTGAGAATCAAGACTGATGACAAAGCTGATGGGCATGAGAAAACAGCCTTCACCCAAGGGAGAGAAACAAAGCCTTCGCTGCCGAGGCTGCTGGAAGCCAGTTAGCAGTCTCAAATTACAGTCGATCCCACCCCACTGCAAGGGGCTGGAAGCACACACAAGGGCGGGGCACACACAAGGTATGATGTAAGGGTACATGCCTCATAGTCATTTAGCCAATAAACATCTGCTGCGTGCCTGCAGCAGACCACGTACTACTTCCAGCACTGAGGCGGAAAGATTCTACAGCCAGTGAAAAAAGCGAGATGTCAGAACAATGGAGGGGGCACCATCCCATTATGGCAATATTTTCAATCTATACATAAAGGAAGCAACATTATTTTTTCTCTCAAGAATACACAGGAAACAAAAGGGTCAATCTACAAGGGAATATTATTCAGCAATAAAAAGGAAATCCTATTATATGGTATGATGCAGATAAACCTTGAGGGCACTATGCTGAGTGAAATAAGACAGACACAAAAGGAGAAATAGTGTAGGATTCCACTGACATGAGGTCCTCAGAGACGTCAGATTCTTAGAAACAGAATGTAGAGTGGCAGTGCCAGAGGCAGGGGGGTGAGGAGTGAGTGAGGGATGGGGCGTTAGTTTGGCTTTAGAAGATGGATGTTCTGGAAATGGATGATGGTGATGGTTGTACAATGTGAATATACTTAATGCTATAAACTGCACACCCGAAAAAAGAAGGGTAGAGTGATAAATTTTGTCACAAATATTTTACCATAACAAAAAACCCAAAATAAATTTTTTAAATTGCTACTTCCATAGGAATTTAAGAAAAAAGATTACACCTAAAGAAAAAGCCCTTTCCTCCTCATTGTATACCTTTTTCTAACACTGAACTTTTAAATCATATGTATACATAAAAAGCAAGATGGAAATATACAAGTGCCCATGCTCCATGCAAATACGCCGCCTAAGGCTGCTTCTGTGAATGTGGAACCATGACCACGGAGCTCCTGCCCAGTATGGCACCAGGCCTTGAGTGTCCTCGTGCCACCTGCATGCATCTGCTTGTCCTGCAGGGTGGTCTGAGCTGGCCACGGCTCCCACTGATCTGGGGTGCCCCAAGCTCCCACCGCACCCACTTGCTCTTAGCCTCCAGGCTTCCTCACAGGGTGTGAAGCAGCCATCCTCGGTCAGGTCTCAAGCTTTCCTGGACTCGGGGCACTTTGCATCTAGGTCGCTGGGTCAAATGTCCCAACCTCTGTGAGTAAAGGATGTGACAGAATACTTAACAAAGGGGAAACTGTCCCCAGAAGTTGTTTTGGGCTAGAAATGCTCTTGAATTTGAATCTTATTTATGAAGATTGTCAGTTTAACTACAAGTATTTCTGTTTCAAAACAATTAAAGCCATTGATCACCATCTGCTATTACCACTGAATTTTTGCTGAAACGGCTTCAGAGCTATCATCGGTATGTGCACACACATATCCAAGGAGATCATTCCGGGGATTTAGACACTCATCTCGGTGTTTTGTAGATTCAACACCAAGGCTGGAAAGCAGGGGAAGGGTGAGGAGCTACACACACAACAGACAGGAGGGAGGCCCATGCTGTGGCTCATCTTGTGTTTGCCAGGCCATCTGTAGGCTGGGAACACCGTGGGCTAGTGGCGAACGGCTACAGCTGCCACTGAGTTTCACTGGAAACTGTCTGAGAACATCTGGATTAGCCAAGCAGTATCAGTGCTTTAGGCATTTTTGAGATGTCTCTTAATTGACCCCTTTATTCTCTGCACAAATGATATCGAAAAACAACAAAGGAAACCCCAACAACCCACCCCGGAACAGCTCTCTGCTCTCCCTGTCTCTCGCTCGCCGCGTGCACGCCCTCCACAGCTGCCGCAACGGTGGAGGTGTCTGCCGCGCTGCTTCTGGCCCTTACTGTGCCAAGAGCGTTACGATGTGGTGATGGCAGTCGTACTGGTCGTTCCTGGCTGCTGCTGCACATAGCCCTCCTCTATGGCAGAAGTCTCTCAAAGCTGAGGAATGGCCACAGAGCCTTTCTGCTTGTCAGGACTGGCTGCGGCCAGGGACCAGCAGCATGACTCTGAAGAGTTGCGGGACGGCTGCAGGGGGCGTCCCGGCCTCCCTGAAAATGTTCATTTCCAGGAGAGGCACTGTTGAGATGGTCCCGAGGACAGGACCTGGACCAGGCTTCAGAGCTGATGCTGGAGCAGGCGGGCTAGACCACCAGAGCAGGAGCCAAGTGCACAGCGTCCCGCAGCTCGGCAGGGTCCACAGATTCTCATCTCACTTGGCCATTATTGCCGATGCCTCCTGCCAGACTGCAGCGATCTCAGACTGCCCCCCACACCGGAAGGCCGAGTCAGCCTTCTGAAGGCCAACGCTCCAGCTCACAATGCTGCTTTCCACAGAAAGACAAGTCAGCCAAGTGACTACATGCAGCGAACTGGTTTTGAACAATGGCCTGGACTCTCAGAAATGTCAACGTAATTAAAGTAAAAAAAAAAGTGAAGGGTTTGTTCTTTATTATGGGAAAGAGCCAGCTACAAAAGACATCTGGGAACACTTGGAGAACTGTGGCTGTGGCCTGCAGAGGAGACGACGTGATGTCATCGGCTGATCTATATACAGGGTCATGGTTTCCCAGACAAGTTCTTCATGGGAAGCATGTGCTAGAGTACCCAGGGCAGAGCAGTCACCAGCGCTGCAGGCAACTTTCAGATGGTTCAGGGGAAAACAGGCCACTGAGGGAGAGAGCGGGCATGTAGGGTGCACTGGGGGCATCTACTAGCCCTTCAAATTTTCTAGAGGTGTGGAACTTTTCAAAAAGTAAAATTTCTGGAGCTACTCTTTTTTTTTTTTTGAGAGAGAGATTTGGTTAAAAAGATTTGGACTATTTTCAACGGCTCTTAAAAAAAAAAGGCCACCGGGCTCGGTGGCTCAGCCTGTAAACCGGCGCCTTTGGGAGGCTGAGGTGAGTGGATTGCCTGAGCCCGCGGGTTCGAGACCTAACTGGGCAGCAAGATCTCATCTCTACAATAAATCAAAAAATCAGCCAGGCATGGTAGCACATGCCTATAATTCCGGCTACTTGGAAGGCAGAGGCGGAAGGATCACCGGAGCCCAGCAGGTCGAGGCTGTGGTGGCCGGGAGCGGCCACTGCACTCCAGTCTGGGCGACAGAGTGAGACTCCAACTCAAAAAAAAAAAAAAAAAAAAAAAAAGCCACAACTTTTTAGCTATTGCTTAACTGTGTATCTAAATCTATTCTAGTATCATACAGTTCAAATGTCAAGGAGGCTTTTAATTCATCTAAAACTGTAGGGTCAGTTACTCAGCTGCTAAGTTTATTGACACGAAGACAATCCTCCTTTAAGCATCAACAGATCTGTCATACTCTATTATTTTTCTTACTTTAAAAAGTTATATCTCTAAAATGTTCCTGAACTTCCAGAAGACTCTTTGGATATTCTTGAAGTACAGTTTAATACAAGCTAAAATTCAGAGATAGAACTGCTATAAAAAATCTGAAATAACTCACAAGCTTCTCAATTGACGTGACTTTTTCACTGACTAGGATTCACAGCTGCCACTGCTGCTACTGAAGGAACTGGTGTCTACTGAAGGCCTCTGGTGTCAGGCCCTGCTGTAAGCACACCCTTGGCGCAGGAGCCTTGGAAGGTAGCCACAAGGCAACCCCCCCATGAGGCCACGAGAGAGGAAGGAGTCATCTATCCCTCAAGTCTGGGCTCTCAACTCCTCTCAGAAAGACAATGTGACCATGTTACTTTACAATTTGCGACGGGGTCTGGCTCTGTCACCCAGGCTGGAGTACAGTAGTGTGATCACAGATTGCTGCAGTCTCAAACTCCTGGGCTGAAGCAGTCCTCCTGCTTCAGCCTCCCGAGTAACTGGGACTCCAGACGCATGCCACAATGCCTGGCCAATTTAAAGAAATTTTTGTAATGACGGCATCTTACTATGTTGCCCAGGCTGGTCTTAAACTCCGGTGCTCAAACATACTTTTTCCTTTTAATTAGACCCTGGCATAAGCACTGCTGTCGCCAAGTGTGAGTTCCATGGGGCGTGGCTGCCAAGGCAGGTGCCAGCACCATCTGCGCACCACGTTCACCAGCCGGCCTGTGTGAGGTGCTCCCAAGCTAGCTGGTGAGTGCAGCCATGAGGCAGAGCTCCTGACCTGGGGCCCAGAGCGCTGAGAATGCTCTGAGACTGCAGACAGTATTTGGTGTGTGACACATGTACTTCCCAGGGACTGTCATATTCTCCCAGATTCACAGCTGCGAGGTGGAAAGCCTGTCACCCACGTGCGGAGGAAGAGCAGGTGGGCAAATGTCCCTTGTGCAGGGCAGGCACAGTCAGTGGGGGCCCCCACATCCTTGTCTGCTGTCATCCCCCTCCCCATGTGTCCCGCAAACCCCAGCCCCGCACGTACCAACGTGGGGTTTCTAACATACCTCCACACTGAAAGGACTCTCCTCAATTTTTCCAACTTCTGCTTCTGGCAGAGGATTTTTCAAGGTCTGTAAAAATAAAGCCGCTTTCCTCTTCCGTTCTGCTTGGAGCTGCTTCTCCTTCGACTCCTTAGATGCTTGGGCCAGCTTTTCCCGGGCAGCAGCTGCAAGGCGATCCTCCAGCTTTTGCTTTGCTTAAGAAAAAAAGCAAGAACAGAGAAGTTTAGAGCAGGCAGTATTTTATCTTGCTATCTTAACTGTCACAAGGCAGAAAACGGGTTACATAATACATAATAGGTGCACACATCAGACAAATCGCACTTTGAGAGAATTTGTTAATAATGACCTTTTTGGAACACTTAAGTTTCAAAGTCAGAGGTTGATGGGAATCAACACGAGGGAAAGCTGGATGAAACCTCACAGCAGCTCTCACAGGCAGGTCTCTGGAGTGTCCACACCAGGCCACCCAGTGTCTGACTTCCAAAGGACCCGACAGCTGGACACCTGCCTGGTGGACCTAGAAGTCCATATTCACACGCATGCGGGCACGCGAGCCTGCTCAGGGAGGGCACTATTGGCACGGTGTAGGCGCTTGAGGTGGACTGTGGTTAGAACATGGCCTCACAAGCGCTGCTTGATCTGTTTGCATATACAAAAAAAGCAATTTAAGAAAATCAATGAGAGGAGGCGAAAATCACAAATGCACTCGCCTATGAGCTACCATGATGCAGAATGTAATGTACTTTGGAGCAGGGGCTGGAAGCTGAATGTGGCCGGCTATGGGTCAGGGTGCGCAGGGACCACGCTGTGACCCGCACAGGGGCTGCGGCCCAGAGAGCAGCCAGCATGGCAGTCCTCATGGGCCCGAGGGTTCTGCGGGGACAGAGCCTTCCGACAGGGTGTCTCTGGCTTGGAGTGCCTCCCGCGGGCTGCCCGCCTAGCGCAGCGCCTCTGTGAAAGCCCTGTGCGCTGGGAGACGGCCAGCCCGTGGCTCTGCTCCCAGTGCTCATGAAGAGCAGTGCGCGTGACTCCCGCAGAGAAGGCTCCAGAACCCACACAACTCCCAGGCGTCCTGGCTGCCAGAGGCTTGAGATGCCAGCTGGCAGGCTCAGTATCTTTAGCTTAGCGGATAAATCTTATATTTACGTGTTTTCTTTCTGTCAAGAAGTTGAAAAGCTGTCGACAAACCTTGCTTTGCTTCCAGCTCCTCCTGGGTGAGTTGAGGTTTCTTCTCCTCAGCAACTACGCAGGGGGGGGCAACTGCCGGGTTAGGGTTTGCAGCGCTACTACAACTCTCTTGGCCTTCTTTGCTTGCTTCGTCATCGTCACTGTCATCATCTAGCTTAACACGGTTCTTTTCCAGGGGAAGCAGATCATTTTCTTTGGCCTTGATTGCAAAGCTTATTGGAGCAAAGGAAGCTATTGAGGAAAGGTGAAAATTGTGATATATTTTTAGGTAACCAGAAGCACAGAGTAGAAATCCTGGCAGACCCTGCCCCGTCGCCCACCTGTGCATCAGCCAATGGGAGGGAACAACTGGCATGGAGCCACATCTTACGCCCAGGCTGGAGTGAAGTGGCACACTCACGACCAACCCAGTGTAGACCCGTTGGGCTCCAGTGATCCTTCTCTCTCAGCTTTCCAAGTAGCCGGAACTACAGGCGCATGCTACCTGCCTGGCTGATTTTTGATTTATTGTAGAGACGAGGTCTCGCCAAGTTGCCCAGGCTGGTCTCAAGCTCGTGGGCTCAGGCAATTCACTCGCCTTGGCCTCCCAAAGCTGGGATTACAGGCTGAGCCACCGAGTCAGGCCTGTTTTCTTTTTTTTTTTGAGTCAGGGTCTCACTCTGGCACCCTGGCTAGAGAACAGTGGCACAATCACGATGATCACAGCCCACCACAGCTTTGACCTCAGGCGATCCTTTTGCCTCAGTCTCCTGAGTAGCTGTACTGCAGGAGCATGCCACCACATCCAGCTAATTTTTTCAATTATTTTTTCATAGAGATGAGGTCTCACTATGTTGCCCAGACTAGTTTTGAACTCCTGGGTTCAAGCAATCCTTCCACCTTGGCCTCCTAAAGCTGGAATTACAGGTGTGAGCCACCGTGGCCGGCCCCATTTCTCCTTTAAAAAAACGTCCACGGCTTAGCACATAGCTGAATCTGCTTATGTAGGCATAGGATGTGACTCCACTATAAACAGTCTCAAAAAATACCCATTACATAAAACAGCCTTTTCTTCCAAAGCAAAAAATTACAGAATCCATTCCTTTATTCAGCAAACACTTTTTACCTACTCTGTGATAAACATTATTATGTTAGACAATTCTCTACAGCTGTAAGACGATTTTAAACTTACCATAACAATAATTTAGGTGGTATAATTTCTCCCCCTAGAATATTTGGAAAACTTAATTTAACAGAAATATGAAGTTCCAAAAGGAAAAATATCATTCCCTTCCCCCATCCACACCACGGACACTGAATCCCTTCTCTTTCAGACACTGAAAAATGGCTCTTAACGAGCGTGAGCTGCCTGCAATAAGACACGTCCCTTTTAAAAACCATGCGTTATTATTTATGAAGGATATTCAAGTAAGCCACAATAAAGAGGATCTTAAGTGCACTGTACACCAGCTGACTGAGAGGTAAGTGGACTTGGGCGAACAAAGGAAGGTTCTAGAAAGGGTGTGACTTATTTCTGTGATCGTGCCCCTGGGGCCTCAGCTCCCTTGGCAGCACAGGGTGAACTACCGCTGGCCCTGTCCTCCCGCTGTCAGTGTTTTATGGCTCCACACCTGCATGCGATGTGAAGCAGACCCAAGCATGTGACATTCTATGACCCTATGAAATACGCCAACCCTTCATCAATGATCACCTGGCACTAGAGAGCACTCACCAAGATGGAACAACGCAGTATAGTTAAAAATGAAAGGTGCAAAAGTAGTCTTGCATTGACTATGAACGTTACACAATAGCACCCCACACAGTGTGCAGGGCAGGCTTCCAGTCGCAGCCCTAAACAAAGACACAACACAGGCAAGAACAATGTGTTTCGTAAAGATAGTCATCATGAACCATTTTACTGTGTTATGTTTTTTTTTTTCAATTGGAGTCTCACTCTGTCACTCAGACTGGAGTGCAGTGGCTGCTCCCGGTCACCGGACCCTCGACCTGCTAGGCTCCGCGATCCTTCCGCCTCAGCCTTCCAAGTAGCCGGAATTACAGGCGCGCGCTACCACGTCCGGCTGATTTTTTGATTTATTGTGGAGATGAGGTCTCGCTGCCCAGGCGGGTCTTGAACCCGCGGGCTCAGGCAATCCACTCATCTCGGCCTCCCAAAGCGCTGGGATTACAGGCTGAGCCACCGAGCCTGGCAGCTGTGTTGTTTTCAAAAGGTCTTCATCTTTTAGAGATACAAACTAGAATATGTATGGAAAAAATGCTATGGTGATGGGGATTTGCAGCACACTATTCTGGGGTGGAATTTAATGAAGTGACCAGGACACATGAAGTAAGGCCAGCAGGGGCTCGCTGCCGGCATTGCGTGACAGGTACCTGTATGTGGGGGTGAGGGGTCATCATACCACATTCTGTTTTCATACATGTTTGAAATTTTCCATAAGAAAAAAATTTTAGCCGGGCTCGGTGGCTCAGCCTGTAATCCCGTGCTTTGGGAGGCTGAGCTGAATGTATTGCCTGAGCCTGCGGGTTTGAGACCCGCCTGGGCAACTTGGCGAGACCTCATCTCTACAATAAATAAAAAAATCAGCCGGGCGTGGTAGTGCATGCCTGTAATTCCGGCTACTCGGAAGGCTGAGACGGAAGGATCGTCGGAGCCCAGCAGGTCGGTGCCACTGCACTCCAGTCTGGGCGACACAGCGAGACTCCAACACAAAAAAAAGAAAAAATTTAACAAAACAAACCACTTTACTGTCTGGAAGCAAATGCTCCCATCTCGGCCTCCCAAAGTGCTGGGATTACAGGTGTGAGCCACTGCACTGGGCCAATATAGATCACTTTAAAAAACAGCAACAGCAGCCGGGCTTGGTGGCTCAGCCTGTAATCCCGTGCCTTTGGGAGGCTGAGGTGAGTGGATTGCCTGAGCCCGCGGGTTCGAGATCCGCCTGGGCAGCGAGACCTCATCTCTACAATAAATCAAAAAATCAGCCGGGCGTGGTAGCGCATGCCTGTAATTCCGGTTACTTGGAAGGTTGAGGAGGAAGGATCGCCGGAGCCCAACAGGTCGAGGCTGCGGTGGCCGGGAGCGGCCACTGCACTCCAGTCTGGGTGACAGAGTGAGACTCCAACTCAAAAAAAAAAACAAACAAAACAAAAAACAGCAACAGCATTTCTGAGTATGAACATGTCAACTTATTTCACAATTTCCTATGATGGTTTTCAACTGCTTTATTTTAACACCAAACATGCTCCATGAAGATCATCCTCATGCAGGCGTGCCTTGGTGACTGTTTCTAGGAGTAGAGGGGCAAGAGTCTGAACACCAGACCCCCATGGCTGGGCTGTGCCAGCTTACATTTCTAGCACACCTCTACACACCACTTCTCCATTGCTGTTATTTTTTTAACTTTATCAATTTGAGAGGCAAAAACTAAAAACTTGCTGGGGATACACTGAAACGTATTTACTGGCCATCTATTTTTCTTCTTTGCTGGTCAATGATCTTTTCATGTCCTTTCTCTGTTTTTCTCCTGTGGTGATTATCTTTTCTTATTGATTTACAAGCGCTCTTTGTATAGTAAGAATGCTAACTCTTCTATTATGTTAGCAATACCACTGTTTTGTCTTTTAACTTTATCCAGGTACTGCCCTCATCAGACTTATTAATCAGTCCTTAAGCTTTATGGTTGCAATTCTTAGCAAGTCTTTCCAATTCCAAGATTATAAAAGAACACACACCTTTATTTTCTTTTACTTTTATAGCTTTATTTTAAATATTGAATTTATCTAGAATTAGTGTTGTCAGATGTGATGTCTTATTTATTTTTTTTGAAATTGGAGAGTCTGTTTTTCTAACATCAATTATTATAGTAAAGAAGTTTTACTATTAAAATTTCAGAAAATGTTGATGCTTTTTCAGTATCTGAGATAAAAACTTGAAAAGACACTTATGTGTTAATATGATAAACTATAATAGAGCTTCTGATGGTATGCCAGACTGGGGTTCTTCGGACAAATCCTAGTCATTCACAACTTATTACTCTTTTATACGCAGTGGATTTAATATAGTATTTTAGCATCTATACTTTTAAGCTAAGTGATCACAGTCTATGGATTGTTCAACTTTGAGAGCTTCATAAGTCTATCTTTCTTAATGTTCTGAGTAGTTTTAATGACACAGGCATTCTATTTCTTGAGGGTAAATTAACTCGACCTGTAATCTGTCTTGGCTGACTGCCTGGGTTTAGAGGCATCTCACTGAACAATATTTTAACAATTCTTTCAAGCCTACAGATCTATGTCGGTTTCCTAACTCTTTCTGACACACTTTCAGAAATTTATGTTTTCTTAGAAAATAATATTGTTGAGTGATTTTCAAATCATTTAAATTTAAAGTAATATATATTTCTGTGCACTTCATTTTTTTCTAGTGCTAACTTCTGGTTGTATCTTGTATATTTAAAAAAATACCTGTGATTTTCTTCTTGTTCATGGTGCCTATCTACATTTGCTTTTTTCTATACTAACATGCACAATAACTATATTTTACTGGTCTTTGCTTATTTTCTCACTAACTTCTGATTTTTACTGATCACATTTCTTGCTTTTCTTAGATGCCCTGTACAGTTTCTTCCTAGGTTCTTGAGTTCAGTACTTGTTTTGTTTTTATTTTTTGTTCACCAACATCAATATACAAAGCTATATAATTTTCTCTGAAGAGTTTCACTGCATTTGATACTTCTGTGATGAGTCGCATTCTCACTGTCCCCTACCTTCATTGAATCATGATTTCCGAGTGCTGGCATGTCCAACTTTCTGCTCTAACATTCAGAATACTGACTTAACCTTGACTTATGGTGGGGTGACGTCCTGATAAACTCATCCTAAGTTGCAAATATTCTAAGCTGAAAATGCATCTATTATTATTATTATTATTGAGTTGGAATCTCACTCTGTCACCCAGGCTAGAGTGCAGTGGCACACTCACGGCCACTTGCAGCCTTGACCTGCTAGGCTCAGGCGATTCTTCTGCTTCAGCCTTCCAAGTAGCTGGAAATACAGGCGTGTGCCACCATACCCGGCCAATTTTTTGATTTATTATAGAGATGAGGTCTTGCCAAGCTGCCCAGGCTGGTCTTGAATCCCTGGGCTCCAGTGATCCTCTCTCCTTGACCTCCCAAAGTACTGGGATGACAGGTATGAGCCATCGTGCCTGGCTAAAAATGCATTTAATACACTCAGCCTACCAGACACCCAGCTTAGCTTCACCTTGTTTCTATGTGCTCAGAACACTTCCATCATCCCACAGTTGGCAACATCATCTCACACAAGGTCTGCTTTCTCATCACGTGCTGAGTGCCTCATGCAATTTATGGACCACTGTACTGAATGTGAACACAGAACGGTGTAAGGGCACTTGAAGTATGGTTTCTGCTAAATGTATGTCACTTTCCCAAGGTACCATCACAGAGGCAGAACATGATCAGGTCGCACCATCTCAGCTGGGCACTTTCATCCACCACTAGGGATAGACCGTCACTACAGCAGTTAACATTTCAGAAGTGTCCTTCTGCCTGAATGCTTTTGCTCCCATCTCTATTCTCTTCCTCTGAGACATGAGAAAACATCTGTGTTTTGTCTTCTCTTCCAATCTAATCTTTAGAGCTTCCACTGTATTTTTATTTTTATTTTATTTTTTTGAGTTGGAGTCTCTCTCTGTCACCCAGACTAGAGTGCAGTGACTGCTCCCGGCCACTGCAGCCTCGACCTGCTGGGCTCTGGCGATCCTTCCGCCTCAGCCTTCC